AGGGAGGGGAGAGGGAGAGAGTGCATTTGAGCTGGGACACACACACTGCTGATGGATCAGCGGAGACAGAGAAAGAGGACTCAGGGAGACTTCACGGCCTGTGTCGTTCATGCCCTTTACAAAGTGAAGTCAGAACTAGACACTTTTCCAACCTACAAAAGTGTGATGTTTACTAAATGCAGTGGGAATAGCAGACTTGAAATTAATTAAAAATAAGCAGAAAATAAATCTGAGAAATAAGTATGAAAACCCAAAGGTCCATAAATAGTTACAAAACTAGCTGTAGTAACCCAGAATTACAGTATTTGATGCGTTCCATTTTTAAACTAGTTTCTTGAACCAAATAACTTATAGCCTTGCCATATCTGTAGCTCTAAAGATTATCCCTGCAGTCGTTTCTAGGCCCTTACGTGTAGCTTCCTTGGGATGACCTGTGGACCCCTCGTATAAAACGTACTGCTTTCTTTTCTCCTACAACTGACGTGGTCTCGTGGGACTTCTCCCTACGCAATGTTAGCACAGTGTTTCAGGTCACAAAACTAGATGTTGTAGATGGTGTCCTCATGTCTGTCGTATCCATTTGAATACCAATCCTCGCTATCGTGACAAAGACTACACTGTGAAGAGCCTGTATAGAGAGGGAAATCATGTCACCTAACCAGGCAATGGTGCCAGGCGTCAGAGATGCCCGGAATCACGCGGCTAGATGCTTCTCATCTCTACCCCCCATCTTCTCGGGAATCTGCTTCTGCTCAGGGCAAGATGAGGCCCAGGCAGGGCCACGTCCAGTGTTAAGTCCTGGATAAGGGGTCATTTGGGTCCACCCTGCAGCTGGGAGGGCTTTAATCAGCAGCCAGCACACATGTTACAAAGATAAGGTCAGATGGGCTCAGTTCTACAAGAGCAAGGGATTAGAGGGCTCTTGGAATTAGAAGGGAAATTGAGGTAGAAAATACGCTGAAATGGACACTCACAACAGGAGGCTTTCAGACTGCTTTTTAAAAATTTCTTTTCTTTCTGTTAGTAGATATACGGAGCTAAAGCCAGATTACAGTAGGACAATATAACATTTCATATAACATGCATCATTATTTCATCTGAAACTTACATAAACTACCCTTTGAAGTAGGTATAATTATTTCTCTTTCACCAATGAGAAAAGCAAGGCTCGGAGACATTCAGTGATTTGCCCACGGTCACACAGCAGCATGTGACAGAGCTGTGGAAAGCATCCCACCCTCTGGGGTGTCTTCTCTTCACCTGCATTTCTGTTGGTGGATGCTAAATATTTAGACCCATCGTGAGCAATGAGAAGATGCTTTCTTCTTGGACTCAAGTTCTGTTGGCTGCACTGTATTGCACCGGTCATAGCTATTATCTTAAACTTCCAGGGGTATCACACTGTCCCCGTTCCCTGACTAATCAGACTGGGTGTTCCCAGTGCTGAACAGAGCGCTGTCCAGTCAGTTCCCCTTTTTGGTTCCTCCTTTTCCTCACTGAGGCAAGCAGTGTGCAAGTCGTTATGTAGTGATAAGCTATGGACAGCAATCAGAAAGCATTTGCTTTTAGGATTATTATAGAAAACTTTTATGGTGAGGTCATCAAAGCCCTGTTGCTGTGGAATGCACGCAGAACTGCCTTTCCGTAGAGGAGAGAAGAATGGTAAAGAATGCAGCCCTCCAATGACGCAGACCTGGATACAAGCCCCGGCCTTGCCACGCTCAGTCACGTCCTTACGCAGTTTTCCTTAATACCTCTGAGCAATTTCCTCATTCCAGTATGTGATTAATAATGGTACCTGCCTCCTAGAACAATGCCTGCAAAACTGTTATACTCAATAAATAGCTGCTCAGGAGACTAATAACCCTAATAGCAATATAGGAAGTATGTCAGAGGTGTGGACAAATGCAAGAATACAGGGTGAGCCAGTATGTTTCGTACTCACCTCAGTACTTGTTCGAAACAAATGTAAAATTATTTACAATTGCATGATTGATATTTTTCCATCAGCTTCAGAAAGCCTGTGTTCAGCTTGGAGAGATGGGTCAGAGACAAATGTAAGCTGTCTTACATCTGATGGTAATAAATTAAGTGAGGAAGGGTGCTAAAGAGAATTAGGGAATGGGCGGTGATTTAAGGTAAAGATTTCAAGGATAGGCTCTGTTAGAGATTAAGACCAGCATTAAAATAACTGCACAGCCTGAAAGCCGTATGACCCATGTGGCAAAAATATCTCCAAGTCTCAGCCACGGAATCACACCCACTCTGAACACAACCCCAGTATTCTTGCCACGTTCTGAAGCAGTTCTGGAAGCCCATTTTTTTGTGTGTGAGCACCTTCGGTTGTATCATCCTGGCTGCCTCCATGTCCTGAATCGATTCAAAGTGTTTTTACTGCAATTTCTGTGAATAAAAATGCTGTGCCGGGTCTTCACCCACCTCATTCACCAGAGCTGCAGCGCCTGGCTCCTCCCCAGAATCGAAATGATCACGAAAGGTAAACTCCTTCAGCAAGTGGCAAGCATGGGATAAACGTGTCTGGCTGGGGGAAGAATCTTTTGAGGGAGATTCATGTGTCTTGTGCTGAAGTATTTAAAAAGTTTAAATAGTCCCTGTGTTTTAGGCTCAACCCATTGTAGTTGTATTTTCTGATGCTGAGTGTCCATGTCGGTTTTTCCTTTCTGCTGTGCCCCTCACCTTGGCCAGGGTAAGGCTGGCATCGCACGAGGAGGCGGTCAGCTCTGTGACCTGGGATTGGACACTGTGCCACGGCCCATGCTTTCTCCAGTGACAGGTTTCTTTTTCCTGAACTAGGATCCATCGGCGGCCTCTTCTTTGCAGTTGGCATCGCCCAGTACGCCCTATTGGGATACTTCATTCGCTCCTGGAGGACTCTGGCCGTTCTGGTTAACCTACAGGGAACAGTGGTCTTTCTTTTATCTTTGTAAGTAGTTTTCCTCCTTGGGGTTTCGATTGAGTAAGTGGAAGGAATACCTAGAGAATCGGGGTTGGTCGATGAATAGTTTTCCCTTTCAGGAGCTTGCCTGCACTGACTTTGGGGAGGAACTGGACTCTGCAAGTAGTGTTCCAATTCTTGGTAGCTCCTGGGAAGAGAGGTGTTGCTTAATTAATTTGGAAATGCAGGTATTCCTTGCCTAAAGCAACCTGTCAATACACTGCATTTTAACCTTCAAGTCCCACCTAGGAAATCAATTTCTCTTTTAAAGCAAACACCTAAAGGGAAAAGATCCCCATCCTGGATCAGACCGTGGGCTAGGTGTGTTTGTTGTGATATTGTTGAGCTGGGTATTCCTACCGTATATCTAGTGACAGTATCCCATCCTACAGGCGAGTCTCAGTTCAGAGACCCTACACGTAGAGTGTGGAAGACTGTGGGCAAGCGAGGCATCCTAGAGTGCAGAGACTCAAAGCAGGATGAGGATGATGTCCTGGTCAAAGCAGGGCTCCAAAAACAACTGTCCAAGGGGTCACGCCAACTTCAGTCCACTTCACCACAAGTTCTGATGGGGCTCATGAAAAGGTCTTCTTCCCTCAGCTTTCAGATCTCAAATTTTAATCATTAAAATCTTTGGCATAACCAAATTTTTCAGCTCATGGTGCCGGCATTCTTTTGTGCTGTAAAGTGGTGCACGCGTGCGCACACGCGTGCACACACACACACACACACACACACACAAGTATTACCATGGGTAATAGTTTAATTCAGGTAGTGGCTTTTATTCAGGTTTTTAATTGACATTTGGTGGAGGCTGAACTGAAATTTGTTTTCATACTATCTTTGAATGCAGCAACGACATTAAGTGCAGAAGTGAAGACAGTAGAAATAGTAACAGTGATTTATCAGCTTATGTATTGTGCATTTTTGAAAGTAATAACTGATTACCTCACATAGTGTCTTGAGTAAATAAACATTCATGTAAATCTTCATGAATAAATGAGTTTCTTTTCAGGTACTTAATGAAGCTCATACTTCTCCTTTCAGCCTGGCTCTCTTCTCTCCCTCAGTAGCCCTGAATCATTCTACTTTTCTCTTTCTGCGTGTGATATGAGTTAGTTACTTACTGTTTAGTGCTAGATGGACCTGAATTCATTTCCTTACTGGGAAATGAATTTAGGTCATGCACAATAGAAAACAGAAGGGAAGAGACAGGTGAGATTTAAATGCATACTTACTCCATTAAACTGGGAGCAGAAGGCCATCTCTCTCCCCTGCCCAGTTTCCACACCTCTGCCCAGTTCACCAAGCTGTAGGTTGTTCCCAGTGTGCCCCTTGTGTTTTTCTCTCCTGACTGTACCTGGGGCCGTGCCTGCACTTTCAATGCCCTCCTCTCCATTTCTGCTTATTTAAGGAACCCTCAGCCACCCTCATGGGAGAGGAACTGCCTTCCACCCCAAGCTTTCCCAGGCCACACCCCCATTACAAGTCATTCTCTTTCTTTAAATTCCTCCACAGGTAGCGGAACCCTTTGTGTGGCCCTTGCTTTTCTGCCTCAAGCTGGAGCTTCATCTCCCCGTACCCAGAACCCTCAGACAACAGCAGGCTCTTTGTTCTAGAATTGTATTTCCCTGGCCACCAAAGCTACAACCTTTCATGCAGTAGAATTTTTGTGTGCATTGGACAAACATTCTAATCACTTTCATAGTTAGCCATCAGCAACGTTATTTTACAGCCGTGCCTTGTCTACCAGAAGCATCTTCACCTAGCTTAAAAATTCCTATTTTTGTAATATTTGAATCTGAGTAGTTTCATTTTCTTTTCTGCAGACCACTGCCCTCTTAACAAAGATTTGCCGCCTTTAAGGATATTCACAGAGTATTTTTGAGCAGAAGGAACATGGTTAAGTTAGCATTTACAAAGATAACCATCTAGGGATTTAGCTCAGTGCTGTTGCCACCAGCCTCACAAGTGCAAGGTCCCAAGTTCAATCCCCGGTACCAAAAAAAAAAAAAAAAAAAAAAAATGACACAAAGATGACCATGACCCAGGTGGCCATGCTGTTCTACAGAAGGCAGTGTTTAAAGGCTGGCTCTTTCCTTTAAAAGTGCATCTCACAGTTTTGTATGTATAATTTTTGTGAATCAGAGTTCATATGCCATTGTCCATGGCAAGTAGGTGATCCTTTGTGTGAGTGATCTGTTGGCCTCTGAAAAATGAAAAGAAATATGGGGTCTTAAGTTTCCATGATCAAGACAAGTCTTTTCCAAGGAGAAATCGCTTAGTAGCTCAATCAGTTTTCCAAAGCCTGAATGTTTTTCAAATATTATCTTCAAAGATGATATATAAAGTTTCAAAATTAATATTGATACTTCTAAACAATTCTGAAAATACAGAGAAGCCTAAGGGTGGGGGGTGACTTACATTACCCAAAGGTAATGATCATTAATATTTTGCTGGGTTTTTTTTTCTTTTTTTTGGTATCGGGGATCTGACTCGGGTCCTTGTGCTTATGAGGCAGGTGGCAGAACCACTGAGCTAAATCCCCGGCCCCTTTGCTGTATTTCTTACTGGTTCTTTTATACTCCTTTTAATCCTAAATTTAATTTTTATTATCATATATATTTTTACTGTATGGTTATCGCAACAGTCTTCTTTGTGGTCCCATACACAGATAGGGTCAGTTGACCCTGCTGATGATTGGTAGACATCACTTTTAACAGATCAGTGTTTTACTTGATTATTTACTTGCATAAACGTGATATAGTCAAATGGCAATGAGGAAGTAAATAAAGGGATTTTTCCAAGACGTAGACAGCCTTTGTCCCTGCTATAGTTTGCAATCAGATGTTGTGCATAAATATTCTCTTCCCCAGTAACAAAACTCCTGGGAAAACTGGTTTTGGTTTGCAATATTTGCCTCTCAACACCTGTTACATTGCTTTGAACAAACTAGAAGCTCTCTGTAATTGGTTATTGACAGGCTGGCTGTCTTTTAAGCTTCCAAGGCCACAGTGTTTGTGGCTAATTCACTGTCCTTTTTGAAAGGCAGGGGCAATTCTAAAAATAGCCTTAAACAGCAAACATTATTCATCCAAGTTTTATTTTAGGCCAAAAATGTCAAATTAGATTAAAGAGTACTTGATGTTCTGTCTAGTAGACAAGGTTTCCATGTTCCCACCACAATTTTGTCTGAGATGTCCTCCAACATGGTGAAAAGACAAAAAACCACCACCACCAACAAAAACTTGATACCTAAGGCTTAGAACTGGGTGAAGATAGCAGTGACAATATTTTATAATTGTATCAGAAAACAACTGTTGTTTAGTGACTAGAAATTAATGTGAAAATAAGTTCTATTCTTTAAGCTCTTGGTGCATCATGAAAGGTCCTCGGGACATAATAAAGCTGGTGTGTTGGGTGATCAAGCATTTTGAAGCAGTAAAACTCAAAAGTAGCTGAGAAGTAATAAACATTTTTTTGTTTTGTTTTTTTGAGACAGGGTCTCACTATGTAGTTGAGACTGACCTGGAACTCACTATGTAGCCCAGGCTGGTCTTGAACTCACAGCGATCCTTCTAACTTAGCCTCCCGAGTGCTAGGATTACAGGTGTGCGCCACCACGCACGGCTCAATAAACTTTTTTATTTCTAAGCCTGGTCTTAAACGCTCCTTCCTAAATAACATATCACAGTATTAAAAACCCTGACTTGCTAAAAATTTGCTTTTCTGATGAGTTAAGAAAAATTTACATCCTCATGTGAAACTTTTTTAGAACTTAAAAAACCTGCTTTCTCTGCTTACTCCAACTCCATCTCCGACTGGTGAGAATTTAGAGCTGTGTTCTTGATCCCTGCATTACAAATAATTTATACTTAGTACCATGGACTTGCCATTCAACTTAAATTTATTTAAATGTAATTAGTATCAGATAATTTTATAAAAAAATAAATGCAAACTGTTTAGCCTTTTACTGGTGCTTTGGAAGCATGTTCTTGGTTTGTACTGATAAATATTGATTAATAAATAAATGAACATTGGGACACTGTTGAAAGCAACCAGTTTTCGCTTTCGGATTCCTATTTGATTGGGAGAGTTAAGCTTTAGATGTCAGAGGCCAAGCAGCTGTGGTGAAGGAATCCATGTACTGAGTGGGTGATTTCTCTCCTCCCTCTGCACCTGCACCTATATGAATACACAGCCTTTAATGACATCTCTTTCAGATTCATTCCTGAATCCCCTCGTTGGTTATACTCCCAGGGTCGACTGAGTGAGGCGGAAGAGGCGCTCTACCTCATTGCCAAGAGGAACCGCAAGCTAAAGTGCACATTCTCACTGACACATCCGGCCCACAGGAGCTACAAGGAGACCGGAAGTTTCTTGGATCTGTTCCGGTACCGGATCCTCTTAGGACACACTCTGATCCTGATGTTCATCTGGTGGGTATATCTGAGGAGTGCCTTGCTGATCTTCCACACCTTTGCTAAAGGTCTCTCGATAGTCTGTTCCATCTGCAGGGTGACGGTGTTTTACCTCCCCTCAGCAAGAAGTTGTTTTTCACTAAACGAGGCCCCTGTCCCTCAGCACCTGGCGGACACCTCTGCTTACACAGCCTCATTTCTCCACCAATCGATGAGGGGCCCTGCTGGATGGGTTTACCGAATTCGAGTAAATAGAAACCAGAAACGTGTCTTTGCTCACGAGGTGCTTATGATAATATTTAAGGCCCCACCCTCAAAGCGGGGAAGGGGCAAGAGAGAAACTGAGCAGTTTCTACACAGGACTTTAGGAGTGCCTACTTCCAGTTGTGGCGCGAAGCTGTTCCTCCGCACTGGGCAGCTGCAGTGCTCGGTTGTGGTTTGCATGGCATTTGATTCACTAACTCACTTCAGGGGGGAAGTGTCATGCTGTGGTGCAGATGGATTCCAGGAATCGGAAGCAGTGGATCCAGCACTCCCTAAACTTGATTTTCTTGTTTTTTAGCGTAGGCCGCCTGTCTCTCAAAATGCTCTGTGGGTTGGTGTAAGTTGCAGTCAGTGGTCCCAGATGATTCTGCTGAAAGGGTGAGATGTACACAGGGGAGACGTAGATGGCGTGCCATACAGTTTGTGATCTACAAATGTTACGTGGTGGAGTTTTGGGAAGGATCGTCGTAGGTACCTGCCTAAAGGCTGGTTCGGCTGTGTTGATTTGTACGGTATAAATTAGAGGGGCGCGGGGGAACCTATCATGGGAGGATAAGGGGAGGTGACTCCATTTGAAAACAGTCTTAAAAAGCACAAAAGAGCAGTTGCTTGAGAATAAGAAGCTGAGAAGAGAGGTCCGTATGGTGATTCTCTTTTCCTCCCCACACACTGGCTTCCCCTGTCTGAGTAAGGCCTGTGTCCCACCCACCGCCGCCTAGCCCCATAGGACCAGCCCTGCGTGGGAGAATCACAGAGCCACAGTAAATGCTGAAAGGAGGGCACAAGCTTGGAGGGACAGCCATTAAGGGAGCTTTGAGAAGCAGACCTAGCAACACAGCATCGGAGCTGCACATTCGAGGTTCTTTCTGTTCAAAAGCAAATATTCAAAAGAGCCTTCAGGTGCTCGGGGCTGTGTAAAACTCTGTATCTGAAGAATCCGTGGACACTCAAGTCCTCTGCCTTGAAGAAAGTAACTACTTGTTGCAGATCATTTGTTGTTTTGGATTTTATTTAAGGCTTAAATTTTTTTTCCAGGTAAAATAATTTTTTTTTCCATATCTAGGTTTTGACCTTTACAAGGTTTTCTAAAAACCTAGACTTGAGGCCAAGGAGCTTGTCCCTGTTTGTTTTATTTCTTACACAGCCAGAGGAACTCTTCTCAAACGTCTTCCCTTGGGCTTAGAATGCTAAAATATGCAGTAATTGAGGCAGCGTCATTCCAGATACTGTCGTTCTCTCTGAAGAGGCTGTAAAATTCTAAAATCTTCTGTGGATCTGTCATTGAAGAAAGCTTTAACCAGGGGAGTAAAATTATACCTCTGTGTTTAACATCTGTTCCTTTGGTTATTTCCTGTAAGAGTGCCTTTTTAAGTAGTTCTTGATGCTCTAAATACACTGTTAAATATTACGCAGGCACTTTAAATTTTGTTTGGGGCACATAAAGAGGATTGAAATGGTTTTAATAGCTGTAGTTATGGATCCCAACGACTGGCTCTGCCACAAAGGCAAGTCGGGGATCACAGGCCCAGCCTTGGGGACAGTAAGGCCTCCGGAGCCTCATGCTCTCCTGGCCTCTCAGTGCCAGCTGGTACCTAAATTCCCCTATTGTTCTGAGCTGGCTTTGTTTATTCTTGTCCTGCCTTGATACCATACCAACTTTCTTTACATAGTTGTACTTTATTGGCTGAAATTGCTTCACTGGGATTGCTGGGTTTTAAAAAATTATCAGTGCATGGTAATTATATAGAGTAATAGGCTTCACCGTGACATCTTCTATATGCATATAAGATGCTTCGCTCTTGTCCTTCCCTCCTGTTGCCCTCCCTTCCCTCTCATCTCCCTTCCCAAGTCCTCTCCCTCTTCTCTGTCTCCTTCTACTGTCACGTCTTTTTGGAGAGGGGAAGGACCTGTGTTTTAAATGCAGCATAGACACAAATGCAGAGAACCCATGTGGAAATACTTTAGCATTATGTAAGAGTAAAGTCTCTCCTGCAGGTAGAAAGCACTTTAAGAATATTTTAGGAAACTGCATGGGTTTTAGTTTATTTAGCCTTATGCCCAAGGGCCTAGGAGACAGGGAAACAGCACACTGCCACCTTGCAGGTGCTTCCTGCAGCTAGGAGGCACTGGCTCCCTCCCTCTGTGTGCTTTTGAAATGGCCCGTGTGAGTTCGTCAAGAACTCTTCAAAGGCCCCGTCCCCGGTTGATCCTCTCGAGGATCCTGACTCTCTGTGACACTGGTCTCTTCTTCCCTGTTGTAAGAGCCGTGCTGAAAAGTGCCTGGATCCCAGGGGGTTGGAGAGCCAGTCATTTCAGGCCTGCCGGTGACCCACTGGAGATCCAGGCTTTTCTCGGACCACTTCTCCAGTCACCTTCTGTTGGCTTTCTCCATGGGAGACCCAGTGCAGAATTGTTCAGATAATATCACAACTGCGGTAAGCAAATGTTCCATAAATGGTGGAGTTAAATAAGGTCAGAATTGGATCTTTGTTTTCCATTCGATGGAAAAAATGCTTGAGAAAGCACAATGTCTCTCCTTTTGCAGGGGCAGGCCATCCATTCCTTTTATATAACAAATAGATACAAATCCTTCTCAAAAGGCCCCATCATGTTTTTGTTTTTTCTTAGAATAGACGTTTAGATTGAGACAAAAAGCTTAGCGGGAGAGTCAAGCTTATTGCTTGCAGATTGCATTATATTGAACCCGTGCTACTTTAATCTTTTCAGGCAAACTCTCATGTGCTTTTCGTTCTTGTTGTCTTCTTGTCTTTCATCTCCCGGTCCCCTGGCCCCTAACTGCAGGTTTGTATGCAGCTTGGTGTACTACGGTCTCACTCTGAGCGCAGGTGACCTAGGTGGAAATATTTATAGCAACCTGGCCCTGTCTGGCCTTGTAGAGATTCCATCCTACCCACTCTGCATCTACTTGATTAACCAGAAATGGTGAGTTTGGGTGAAACAAAGTGCAGTATAGAGAATGCACACTTGTGACACACTCACAAACTCAGGTACACAAACACTTACACCTCACTATCTTTGTCCACAGACAATATCTGCTAACTATCATGGTGATTACTTTCTTGCAGGCCGAATTCAGCTAGAATTCATTTTTTAGCACAGCATTTCTTGACTTTCGTGTGTTTCAGCTAATATAAAGATTTCAGGGCTGGGGATTTAGCTCAGTGGTTCCAGAGCCTGACTTGCAAGTGCAAGGATCTGAGTTCAAACCCCAGTACCAAAAAAAAAAGATTTCAACCCAGTACTGAGGAGCACTGCCTTCTGAAGGGTCTTGAATACAGTACTACCTCAGTTCGTGAACTTAACTTGTTTTATGATTTTGGGAAAGATGCCCACATTTGTGTTTGTCTGGGACAGATGGCTGTGGTCATGCTTGTCACCTAGTGCAGAGTTTGTGAACAACAACAAAATTTTGCCAAATACTTTTATTTGAGAACCAAATCATTTGCAAACCAAAGTGTTTGTGAACTGAGGTACCCCTGGAGTCCACATGTAAATTGTTAGGCCCAAGAAATGGGATTATTAGCTACATGATCAACTCAGTTAATATGTAGACTCCTCTAGGCTGGAAAACAAAAGAATTGAGGGAATTAGAAAGGCTTTTCTTACTTCCTAAGATCACTTTGTTGAGGGGAGGAAAACATCCTGTTTTTGCCACTCCTGGTCAGTGGCACAGTTTGGAAATAACTTTTACAAGTTATTTTACAGAGCAATCTTCCATTTTTCAAAGATCATTTCTGTTGCTGGGTGTGGTGGTGCACACCTATGATCCCAGCCCTGGAGATATGGTGGGTTCAGGACCATCTTGAACTCCACAGTGAGACCCTGTGTCAAAAAACAAAACAAAACAGAAAACAAAGGTCATGTCTGTTGTTTAGTCCTTCACCAACGTGACTAAACACCCTGTTCTGTTTAAGCTTGGAGTCAGTTGGACTGTGCTGTTTCTCATTCTTCAGAAGCTATTTTAACCCAAATAAGGCTTCCTTCAGCACTGCACCCGGTGCTGTTGTCATTGTGTCTGAGCTGAGAGCACTGGGAAGGGCAGGTATGGGCCCTGTTCATCCAGAGGCTTTCATCCCAGACTGTCCTCCAAATGCCTTTGCTGCCTCCTGAGAGTGACTGTAGGTTACCGCCATTGTGGCATAGCACCTGGGTCAGATGCTTTGCTCAGGAACCTTTCCCCAGCATCCCCAGTTGTGCCGCTGGCCCCTCCTTTGCTGTGGTAGCTTCCTGTGCTTGCCTCTGACCACACTGGCAGTGCTGTAAGAAAGATATGTGCAGAATATCGTGTCTCAGGCATCCCTAACACCTAGCATGGTCGGTGTCTTCTGAAAGCCACCCCATGCTGGCATTAAGTCAAACAAAATAACCTGGAAAAGAAGGCACAGGACCCTTCCGGTCTCCCACCAACTTCCACCCCAACTCACGATGGGAATCTGAAGGATGCTGCCTTTGGAGCCAGGCAGACCTGAATTCAAGGCTAGGTTTAGCCCAAGTTCGTTTTATGATTTTGCCAAGTTCTCTCACTAAACCTGAATCATGCTCTTCCTCAAACTAGGGATTATAAAATTCCCCTGCCGCAATTGTTTTCAAAATTACATATAATCGTGAAGTTCCTGGTTCCTGGCATGTAGCCGGCCCTTAGAAATAGACGCTTATTAATGTTCATATCTTTTCCCCAGTCTAGAGCTCTTACTTCATAATGACGTTTTAGTGTGCAATGCGTCTCACTTTGTTTTAACCCACTGATGTGAAATATTCTCCCTCTTGTATTTTTAAGAAAAAGGGAGTTTTCAAAGTGTTTAAAAGTTTTAACTCAATACATTTGAGGTAACCAGAAAATTAAATGAGCTAGAAAACTCTATTTTCTGTTTTAGTTCTATTTTCTAGAAGATAGAGAATGTAATGGTGCGTGCCTACAGGTTTATTATTTGGATTAAATAAGATAAGAAGTGGAAAGCATCTGACAGTGACTGGGACATAGTGAACACTCACAGAAATGGAAGAATTGTATGTTCGTTTCCCATATGTCTCATTGAATCCTTTCTTTAGCAAGTTTCACCATTTTAATGATGGTTATTTTAGGCCTCAGTCAGGCTCCTGATTGTCACTTATTCATTGAGAAAAAAAATGAGACTGAGGACATTTAAATAGAAAGGTTGAGAAAAAGATGCAGATGAATTGACAAGATTCTTGAGAGAAATGTGTAATTTGTTTGTGTTATTTAGGTTTGGCCGGAAGCGGACTTTAGCAGCATTTCTGTGTCTAGGAGGCCTGGCCTGTCTTATTGTAATGTTTCTTCCAGAAAAGAAAGGTATGCTTTTGAGATTTCTATGAGAGGTTTGAACAGTGCTTTTATGACAATGAATCTCAATATAGCAGAGAGATTACCATATGTCATGCTTCATTTCTGTGATTGTATATTATTTAGCAATTGTGTGGGGTATAATGGACCAGATTCTTTCCATTACCTAAACTATTCTCTGGGTGAATAATGTGCTTAGAGGTGTGCTATTAATTTTTGCAGGCTATTAAGCTACCATCTGGGGTAGCTGGGATGCAGCGCTGGTGATGCTAGAGTTGTTTATTTGATGATGAGCACTGGTTAGTTCAGCTCAGAAAAACAAAACAAAACAAAAAAAAAAACGATTTCATCCAAGGCTGCAAAGTACGCTGCTCATCCCCGCCGGTCACCAGACTGGAGATGAGACAGTGGTTCTCCTGGGTGGCTTCGGCACCCTCAGTGTTTCCATCTACACTCGAGGCATCCTGGTAACAACAGCAACAATTAGAGTATTATTCGCTGGATGGATGTGCTCTTGGTGTTACGTAAAAGTTTCTTTAGGAAGCTTTACTATTTATATATTTGTACCTTTGCTCTGCAAACACAGCTGCCAAAAAAAAAAAAAGTCTCTTAGACACCACATCTAACCTGATTATTGTTCCTGTACAGAGTTTCTGTAGATCCTGCAGATTTTCAATTTTTTTTCCTTTTCCTTTGCACACCTGAGGCGTCCCAGTTACTACACTGGGAACTGTGGTTTGGGCTGTGGTTTTCAGGGAGGAGGAGTAGGCCATAAGAACTCCCCAGGGACAGATCGTATAACAGGGGCCCTGTTTGAGGACTAGGATTTTGCTAGGATTCCTGGTGCGAATCAGTATGTGGTGGTCTGACATAAAGTTTCGATAACTCCTGGAAATGCATGAAGAGATCATTTCCCATCAGAGCACATCAGGTATCCAATGCTCCTCCTGTAAATTACTTCTCCTTGAGGCTCAGTTGTGCCGTGTTTCTTTCCGGAACCTGCAAGGCTGCCTGTTCTTATTTTGTAACCCTCCAATGTATCTGCGCTCCCACTGGTCACCTCCTGAAGTTCCGCGCCTTGAATCCAGGGTGCGGATTGTTCACTAGAGATTTGGCCCTGTATTCTGAGCAACCTACAAGTGATTTCCATGCAAACTAGAAAATTCAGTCAGTTTGCCCATGTCTTTATCCTCAGCACACTGGTACCCTTGCCAGTGCTGGTGGAAGGAACCCCCTCAGTTGCCCTGTTGGGGACTGTAAGAACAGGGTTCCCCATTTTTTCATTTTGTTTTGTCTGAAGCAAGAAATGATGAGCATCAAACCATCCTAGTTTTGTGCTCAGCAGAATTTGTTTTATGTAGGCACCTTGAGAATTCAGTTGTTTCTACCCACAACAGTCCAGTGTTCTATTTCTCTCATCATAGAGAAAAAAAGTTTCATTATTACCGTAAACACTCCTATAACCCATCACACCTCCACGGGGCAAGCCAATTAATACTTTCCCTTCCTCCTACTACTTTCCGTACAACAGGTAACCACCCTCTAGGGCTGTGCATGGCCCCTTCTTCAAAGTACCTCTTATTGTAAATAACAAAACAAAAATCCAAGGTGACAGCAGATGTCTGGGCTCCCACCTAGACCCAGCAAGTGCCTGTGTGTCAAGAAAGCCACATGTTCTCTTTGTTGCTCGTGCCCCTTGGTGGACTCCAAGTCATAAAAGGCCCTGTAGAATGTCTTTCACATAGCATGAAGGTGCCTCAGGAACATACTACCTTTGTTATGCTCAGGCAAGTGGACGTCTGGTCTATTTTTAAAGATTATTTCTGGGTAATAAATTCTTTGTTAGCCCTGAGTAAATTACTTCTATTTTTTAATAACTATTACTGCTTGAATGAGCCTCTTCCACTATAATTGAGCCCAGTTCTTTCACCTGATTCATCCTTAGACCTGGAGAACAGATGGACACCTTTCTTTCTTCTTTTCATTTCACATAATCCGTTCTATACTTGTGAGGAGTCTTCTAGCTTTTCCTGCATTTCTCTTCTGTAAGCTAAAAAAAAAAAAATGTTCTTTAAACTTTCTTTAGGCCATTTATATTTGCTGTTTAAAATAGTTTCTTGGCTTCCTTTCAAATTTGCTCTTTTAGATTTTTAAAATATAGGTTAAAAATAGTTCTGATAATTCCCTATTAAGAAAAATAACTTAGAAAGCTCTAGAAAAACTCTGTTAGCATCTTGTGTGAACTTGGAGATCACTCATTTACTCACTGATTTTTGTGTTCATTTGCCCTCTTTTTTCCACCAAACACACCTGCACACCTGCATTCTCTCCTTTCTGCTGACTCTCTAAGTCTCTTAGTTGCCTAGGCTGGGCTCAAACTTGCAGTTCTCCTGCCTCAGCCTCCTAGAATGCTGGGATTACAGGCAGGCATCACCACACCTGACCCAGGTATCCTTTTGCTCTCCAGTTTCTGATTTAGCAACTATATGTAACTGTTATTCTCTGTGTCTGAGACATTTGTGGATACTCTAGGAGTTACTTACAAAGAATAAGTATGAAAATAGACTTTTTTTGGCATTTCATGGGCTGTGGTTTATAATTACAGTTGAGCAGCCTTAATCCAAAAATCCTAGATCTGAAATGCTTCAAAATCTGAAACTCTTTGAGCCCTGACATGATGCCACGGTGGAAAATTCCATAGCTGAACTTGTGTGAATTTATGGGCCAAAGTCAAAACGCAGATGCACTAAAAATATTGTATAAACTCCTCTTTCTACCAAAATAAGACCTAGCTGGAAAAGGATCAACCTTGAAAACTAGAACTCAAAGCCATACTCGTAAGTGAAATAAATAGGATGCATGTGTAAATACTGGATGTTTTCCCTGGTGTGAGAAACTGGAAGTGTGAATAAGGATCAAAATGTATAAAAGATAATAATGTGAAATAGGAAGAAAGGGGAGGGGGGAGGGGTACGGGAAAGGACAGAAGGGAAAGAAAAAATACGAGAAAAAAAAAATGGAAACAAAGTCTTTGCAAATAGGGAAGGGTGGAGAGGTTGAAGAGAGGGCAGGGGAATGAGGAAAAAATAAGAACCAAGATGGATTATGTAAAGGTGAAAATTTGCAAAGATGAATGTCGTCATACTGTAAACCTAAAATATACCAATAAACTTAACGAATTTTAACAAATGCCAGCCGCAGTCAGCCTGTCCTTGCCTTACTTGTCCTCTTGCTCATTGGCTGCTCTGTAAGGCAGGTAAGGCAAGGGCGGACTTGATGGGGGCTGGCACTGTTGATCTCTGGTTTTCACAGCCGGTTATTTTCCAGCGAGGTCTTATTTTCAGGGAAACATGAAATTACCTTCAGGCTGTGTGTGAAATGTAAATAAACTTTGTGGTTAGACTTGGATCACATACCCAAGGCATTTTATTATTATATACCAATATTCCAAAAGAAAATCTACAACACTTCTGATCCTGAACATTTCAAATAGAGGATACTGGACCTGTATTAGACAAGTTTCCTATTCAGTGTGTATTTCATAGCCTCCAGGAAAATTCTCTCCTCTAGGAATGTTGTTAGTGGGTGGCCACTAATTTTTGCCCACAGATTGGTCATCAGCTGGGAGTTTCATAAGGATCCCAGGACTGGATGCCATGTATTAGGTGTTGCCTGTGTGGGGGATTTTCCTCTTAGGCAGATGATATTCTGTACCATCCCAGTTATACACGGAAACTAAGTCAGATTAGTCAAGCGATCTGACCAGTGTTACCCAGCAAGTAAGAAGTACAGTAGAGGTTTCAGGTCTTTCTGATCTGAAGCCAGTACTCTTGGGGGACTGGTGCTTTTCCCTTGTAGAGTATTTTCATTAAAATATTCATTACAAATAGTGATGTGGTCTTAAAAAATTAACGCTGCCTGGTCAGGGCTAGTTCTCAGGGAGGCTCGATGGGAAGTGGCCGGTGTGTCACAGTGGTGCTGGCCCCTCGTCCTCCTCCCTGAAGCTTGTGACAGTCGGTTGTGCCTTCACCGGAGGATTTGAACACTAGGAATTCCGGGTGTTTGCCTGGAGATTGAAGTACAGTGGAAGGATTTGTTTTTATACTCAGCCCAGGGAATCCTGCACGTCAAGCTTCTCTCCTCAGCTTTGGTCTGCCCATTCTTTGTGCTTTTGACTTCTCTAGTGTCTGATTTACAAGGTTTTGTTCATAAATAACGTCTGCTTTCTGGCTTCAAAGAGCTCATAATCCAGTGAAGGAAATTAGTGATCAAAATATAACAATAGGGCCAGGGATTTAGCTCAGTGTTCCGCCCCCTGCTTCTCAAGCACAAGGTCCAGAGTTCCATCCCTGGTACCAAATAATAATAATAACAACAATAAAACACAGTACCATAGGAAAATTGGAAAAAAATGATATGGGAATTTGAACTTTAGGGCAGGATAACAATGGAGACCAGCTACCTTTCTGTTTTAAGCAACTAGAAAACCAGAGAAAACGTGTAGGAAATGCAGATTTTCAAACACCGAATGACAGGCTGCACAGGACAATAATTCCTGAGAGGTGAAAACTAATCCCAGCAAGCCGTAAGAGTGGCTTAGCTCAGGATTTCCAAGCCACAGGGCAAGGAGGGGAGCATGACCAGTCCTGAAGCTCTTACTGAATTGAGGAAGTGCTTACCGAAGGCCAAGGTGACTAGAATTTGCCGGGTGAAACACAGGAGAAGAGTAAGATGCAGGATCCGCCAAGAGAGACTCTGCGCCTTTTGCTGCTTTTGATGTGTGTGTGTGTGTGTGTGTGTGTGTGTGTGTGTGTGTGTGTGTTTGAAGAAACTACTGAGGCCAGAGGGAGGACCACAAGACAAAAGTAAGCAGAGCAATTCTTGGAACAGAGAACCATGAATAAGCATTGGAGAGATCCCTCTCCACAAAGCAGCCCTACGCCAAAGGCTCCTCTCTGATTGCCCCAAAGTGCCTAAAAACAAAACTCCAAAGAGTCAAGTGATTCTAACTTGACTGCATCGCAGAACAAAGCCCAGACAGTATTTAAAGAAATACAGTAAAATTCAGAGCCCAGTAATGCAATATTCACAACTTGTGGCCTCCGGTAAAAATTAGCAGGAAATACTTTGGACCGTAGGGGAAAGATCGACAGAAACAAAAAAGTGGCATAGGTTATAGATTGAAGAAATAATTAAAGCAGAAATTGTAACATGTTCCATATGTTTAAGAAAGTGGAATACAGTGATCACAGTAAGCAGAGTAATTAAAGCTGTACAAAAGGTATACACAAAGCATGCAGAGATGAAATTTACATGAAAAAATACAGTGGACAAAACTAAAACACAGTGGATCATACAGCAGATTAGACACTACAGGAGAACAGATTGGTGAATATAAACTTATAACAAAGGAAACCAGAATGGAATAAAAACAGATTGAATAAAAATGAATAAGGTATCAATGAGTTGTGAAACAATATGAAAGGGCCTCCCATATAACTGTAGTTCCAGCAGAAAGAGGTAAAGAAAAACTATTTGCGGAAATGTTTGCAAAAACTTGCCAAAACATATAAACACACAATACAAAAGTAATTACTTTATCAAGGGGCTACAACCATTTTAAATGCGTATGTCTCTTTTAAGAGACTCAAAGTACAGAAAACAAAAGTGTGTTGTACAGAAAAAAATAGAGACAAATCCAAAATTATTGTTAGGTTCATCGATACTGTTATCTCAGTAATTAATAGAAACAGCAGAAAGAAAATGTAGACAAAAACTATTATAGTCAACACAACCTAGTTGATTTGTAGAACACCTGACCTGTTAAACTCCTTTTGAAATGCACACAAAACATTTGCCAAGGGAACCTTATCCTGGATCATAAAATAAGCTTCAATAAATTTAAGAGGGTTGGAAACTTTGCCTAGGTTGGATTTAAACTAGAAATCAGTAACAGAATGATTTCCTAGAAAATCATCACGTTTTGGGATACTAAATTAACAACACCTTTCTAAAACACATGGATTAAAGAAAAAAAATCACAAAGAAAATTGGAAAATATTTTTAATTGAACAATTATTAAAGTATACAAATCAAAATTTAGGGTATGCCACATGTGGTGGTACACACATGTAATCCCAGCAGTCAGGAGGCTGAGGCAGGAGAATTACTGCAAATTTGAGGCCAGCCTGAACTATGTAGTGAGACCTTGTTTCACACACATACAAAAGCAAAGCTTAGGGGAAGCATATAAAGCAAGGCTTAGAGGAAAATTTGTATAATTTTTTAAATCCAAAAAAAAAATGTTTTCAAATGAATGATTCACCCTAACAAAGTAGAAGACAATTTTTAAAAAAGAATGTCAAATTAAACACAGTCTAGTTCTTAAAAACAAACAGAAAGATGAAAAGAATAAACATAGGGCCCCCCCAAAAAAAAAATCAGTGAGATGAAAACACAAAGACTCAAAGACTTGGAGACTGATGTTCACAGTAGTATTATTACTAATAACCCCAAACTGGGTGGAACCCAAATGCCCTTCAAGCCTGATGAATGGGTAAACACATTGTTATATATCCACACAATGGAATATTAACAACAAAGACGGAATGATCTGTGACCTCCTGGTACAACCTGAATACAAAACCATTACGCCAAGTGAGAGCCTACATGCACAAAAATCTCCAAAGTATATTATTTCATCCATGTAAAACCCCATAAAGTTGAGAGTATGGTGACAAAACTTTCTATTTGTATGATATTTTATTTAAATAAAAACTCCAAAGGCAAGGAAAAGGAATTGTTCTTTGTCCAGCCTAGGCCTTCTAGTGGAGAACCAGCAGCTATGGTTGATATTTTTAAACCTGAGCAATCAGAATTATTCTATAATCACCCTGTGACATGAATGATTAACTGAATTTTTGCTGTTTGGGGCCAATGAGTATAAAATACTGATATAATTTGTTATGGTGCCCCGAAGGCTCTCAGAAATTAGTTCTGAAAATTACATCTATTGAAGATGCAATATTGGAATAAATATATTTGAATTCAGAACTTTGAAGAGTAACCAGTATTTTAAGAATCATCTTTTTAAAATAGGTAGCTTAGATTTTTCTCTTCTTCTATGAGTCACTTTTTTTTTTCTTGAACAGTAGCTTTGGTCATTCCTTGGGAATAGCCAGTAATATATGACTTTTAGGTGAAGGACTCAGGTGAGGAATCCAGGGGACCAACAGCCTGACAGCTGCACTTCCAGGGTCTAACAAAGCTTCCCTAAATCTCTGTGAGCCCCTGTGGGGAAGAAATGAGCACCCCTGGCTGACGTGGTGACTGCAGACCTGGTGGCAGAAACACAGGAGACAAGTGTGGAATAGTAGATGGGGTGCCAGGCTGCGTGTGTGTGGCTGGAGACGGGCTCCCAAGATGTGCACAGCTGGAGTGTCCTGTGCCTTACTCGGGAGTCTTCAGCTTTGCATCATGGACATTTAGATGACAAGCAGGCACAAGGTCCCGAGTTCGATCCCTGGTAACCCCCCCCCCAATATGCAGTACTTAGAAGAGCTCATGTGGTTTTTGAGATATTCTGGGAGAAGAGGTGAAAGCAGCCCCAGGGGTCACATTGAGAGCAGTGCGTGCATGACTACTTCAGGACACCTTTTTGAAGTGGGTTAAAATTTATTTCACACTCAAACAGGAAAAGTGAAACTTAGTTTTTGGTATCAGGCATATCATAGCCCACCCTCCCAAGAAGCGGAGAGAGTGAACGCAGGTCGATTTCACCAAATAAATCCCTACTGTAGTTCCTACACTTCTTACTTCAACAAATATTTACACTGTGGAAAACTGTGTGGCTAATTCTATGGGAGATGCTGTGAGGAAAACAAATATACAAGCTACCAACATTAGCCTGAGGTAACTTGCAGTATATTTGGGGCAGACAAGATAGGTAAACAAGTAATCACAAAGGAGTATCTGAGACATGCCAGTTGAATGAATTGCAAAGTAGAGAGCATTGGAGGTCAAAGGAAGGAGAAGATATTTCACTGGCGCTATTTAACGAAGAGTGGTTTATACGAGCTCCATAGTCCTGAGAAAGGGGACAAGAGTGTTCCATTTGTCATAAATGTCAAGGAGAATGAGAGCTGATTACTTTCAATGGTAGAACATTGCTGTTGACCTTTAGGACGAAGAATTTTAGGAAAGGATGGCATTAGAAGCAAGATTACTGTTACAGGGCAGGTGCATTTGAGAAATGGAGTGGTTGCCACTTCCTGGAGGCGTTTGATGGTGAAGGGAAGAAATACAACAGGGGCAGGAATAATTGTGGGTTTTCTTTTCTTAGGAGAAATTGTTGTTCTGAAGATAGAAACAAGTAAATTTTTAAAGGAGAGATGAACTATGTTTGACAGGTAACAAATTATAGAACCCAGTCAGCATAATGTTCATAAGAACCATGAGATGATTGATTGATTGTGTTTTTGATAAGGAAATAAACTGGCATAAGAGATTTTTTGCATTTTGAGTAAAAAAAAAATACATTAAGAAACTCAAAGCTAGGTGGTGTCCTAGCACTTGAGAGGTTGAGGCAGGAGGATTGCTGAGAGTTCAAGACCAGCCTGAACAACATAGCAAGATTTTGTCTCAAAAAAA